ACAGACTGTACTCCTCACTCAGTCCTGCCACCAAGATTCAGTAGATTCTGTATACATAGTTTCTCAAAATCACTCACTTAAGGAGTCATAACCCAATCTTAGCAATGAACTAGTACATTACTTGAGTCTGGTAGAAGAGTCTGTTTCTCACTACACCTACAAATCCAGCAAGTTTTGAGACTCTTTAAGACAGGTCCTTAAAGGAAGGATCTCTATTAAGGACCTAAGATGTTTGCTTACAGGAGCTGCTCACTGCTGACATTCACAACTGACACTTGCTGCTATAAAAATGGAACTGGGCATCAAGATTTAAGATTACAGAACTGCAGAACTCTCCAGAAACTATTTACACTATATTAGCAAATTTCTCCTCATTATCGTGGCATAAATTTTAAGACATTTTTATTAATATCTGGTAATTTGTATAAAAGAAATACTACTCTGCCACCAGTTTTGACTCAAGCTACTGACTAATATTTATGGATTGATTTCCAGAGAAGCTGAGGACATGAGGTTGTCCAGCAGATTTCAGGTAAGCAATAGGGCATAGTATTTCTCAAGCACAAATCGCTTACTAATAAGCTGTTGCCAAGGGAATCTTGCCGGGGCATTTGGACAAATAAAGTATATAATGCATCCTCTGTACCGTTACTCACGCCATGGGAGAGGGTGCAGCAAAACAAATGAGAGAGAAAATTCCTGAACTAACCAGATTTTAATAGAGAGGTTTGAAGCTAGGCACGTAAAACAAGCAGGCAACAAACTCTAGAGGGAAAATTATATGAAAATTTTCAATATGTGGAAAACATGATACATGACTGCAATTACTTTTTGTGCACTATGCACTCTTTAGCATGAGTGCAAGTTTGGCAGAGGAGAGGCGGATGAGACAGGTGTGATGGCTCATGGTCAGAACACAGCAGCAGAGGCTGAACACAAAGAAGTCTGTCAGTTTACTCTTTAACAATAGGAATACAGGAGCAATAGGAAGGCAGCTTTGTACAGACTGACTTATTAGCTGATTATAAGAAAGAAATAAATAATAAAAGGACACTTTTGCTTTCATAAAAATGCTGAAGAAAAACAGCTATGAGACAACTTTCACATAACAAAAGTAGACAGTTTCCTTATTTTACTGTAACTCAGACTGGATAACAGTCATGAATATATATAGAACTGCCACAGAAACCTCCAAGCAGCATTTACCCAGACAGAAAACTTACACTTTTAAAGGCAGCAATTAATTCTTTTTGGGTTGTTTTGGGTTTTGTTTTTGTTTTTGTTTTTGTTTTTGCTTGTTAGGAAAGTGTCTTTACAGCACATAACTTTACCTGGGAGGCTACTGAAAAGAAATTGAATTTCTCAAATTTGCAACAGCTGTAAGCTACTAAACTTCCAAGAGAACCTGGCAAGTCCCATGAGAATTGAGGCCAAATGTATATGGAATAAGAAATTCGTGTTTGGCGTTATATTTCTCCTTTCTGAGAGGCAACGGACTTAATAAGTCTCCATATGTAAGTAATTCTTAATGACATGAACTACTTTTAATCTGCCAGAAGAAAAATCTGTCAGTTACAAAAGTACATCTGTAAGAAAAGAGATGATTACAGGTAGGTTATGCTCAGCCACTAGCTGCATTCATTTCCAGAGCCAGTTTTCTGAACTGGGATCAAATTCTGTCACAAAACCAAATCATAATTCAGTAACATGACTTAACTCAGAGAAAATGCAAAGTGGTTTGAATTACACTGGAATTGTTATTATCAATTATTATAAATAATTATTATAAATATGCAGACTTCTTTTCATTAATAAAATCCTACTGAAAGCAATGGGATTCTATAGAGAACAACATGTCTTGCATGGGTGGACTCCAAGACATTTGGCATTAAAAAGGATACCTTCAACAGATGGAACCTCAGAAACTGCCTTTAAAAAAAATTGTTTGGAATTTGAGGCATCTCTCTTGAGGTCTCTTAAAGCATAATTTTCAAGAAAAGGGGAGGGATATTTTCAGCACTTGGTGAAAAGTAACAGCTTCTTAGTAACCTCAGAATGATCAGATGGTCAATATTTTGATGGTTATACTCAAACCCAACAGTTACAGTATTTCACTTTGACATGCAATAATTTCATTCAAGCCCTTTTTTTGCCACCAAGACATAGCTTTATTATGAGAATGGGCATGCAGCTTCTTGACATTCTGGAAGACTCTTGTTTTCTTTTTTGTTCACATTTTCTACAGAGAAATCTCTTTTAAAGAAAATATTTGATATTGCAAGCTCATGTGGAACAAGAAATTACAGTTTAAGAGAAGACAGTAACATGCTATACAAAGATGTAAAGATTATTTCTTTCTGACTTAACTCTGGCAATACCTCAATCTCATTTAGGTTCTAGTTTAAAATTAATTATTTTTCTGGCAGTATGCTACATTCTGGACAGTAGCCCACCTATGGCTGAGTAATGCTGGGGAGCAATTTTTAAATGAAAATGAAATTGTAGTGTATTTGTAAAGACTTGTAAAATCAGGTCAATGGCAAAGAAAGTGCTTTGCTTTGTTAATAACTTTGATACAGGGAAATTACAGAGAAAGCCTCCGTTTTGCTGGCGTTGAGAGACTCCTATTGCCTGCCACAGCCATTAATTTTAGGAGGTGTAGTTTCAAGCTTGTTTAGGACAAGACCATGAAAATGGAGCACTGCAGAACACCATAATACATGACAAGTATGAAATGAATTTGTATATCTGTAAGAACACAAACTCTATTTATTTTCTAGGAAGTAACAGAATTACTCTGAAGCCTGCAAAACCTCTTTTGAGTGTATTTGGTGTGTAATGTAATATCCTTAAGTTTTTCCAATCCTACTTTAGATTGGATTCTTGACTATTATCTGTTTGATTTGTCTGTATTCCTCTGATGAATACTGTTTACACCAGTTATGCCACCCTTTGTGCAAGCAGCTGTATTCAGTTCTCCCCTTATCTGCCCTCTCTTTATACTCATAGAAAGGCATTGGGAAAAAATCCTCAGGTCACAACGCAAATGCTAAGTTCTGGGATGGGGAAGATGATAACCTAATAAGAAAAGTATTGAGAAGTTGTCTAAAAAAAAATTATTTTCCTGTGAATGCTCTGGAATTAGTCAATTCAAATGGCACACAGCCACCTTAGGTAGATCTAGTGCTCTGCCCTGTTGCATGGCAGAATTGCGGGTGGGTTCCTTACAGGCTTGCACCTTTGGCTCATGACTCAGAAGGAGCAATGAGATGGCAGGGTTAGGGCTTTCCCTTCCTTCAACCCTCTGCAAAAGAAAAGCTTAAATTCACCAACTGCAACATATTTCCCATTTATATTTAAATCTTAAAAGCTCTCAAATGAGTATGTTTACTGTCAACAAAGGCACCTTCTTGCATGATGAAGAAACTGATCCTAAGTTTAATTCTGCATTTCTGGCATGCAAAAACTGGACAGATTGTATAAGATTTCTATTTACTGACTAAGGTGTGTAATTCCAATTGAGCAATCAGCTGTGACTAGAAAGTTAATCTCTCCTAATTTAGTTTAAAGGATATTAATTGAAACTTTCCCAGCCTGATCTCAAGTTCAGACCTTTTAAGCGTATAGTTATTTCTTAAAATCCCCCTGGTAATGTAACACATATTAAGCTGAACAATTTAATGTCACTTAAAACCATAGTAAATTACTTTCTGATTTTTAACATATTAGGAGAGTATACTGAAGTGCCCCTCTGAGAAAAGCAAGTAACAGTTTCAAGGAAAGGGAAAACACTGTAATAAGTGGTAAATCAAGCATTTCTCCTTCAGAGACTAATTTCCTCATATAGAGTGGCTAATCACTCAGATGTGGTATGGATTACCCTTCCTCTGTAGCTTTCAATAACAATTTGCTGGACATCTTCAAATCTCAGTGTAATAAAGAAAGATTAACATTTTTCTCCTTCTATAAGATGAGGAAACTGTCACTGTTTTCAAACTCTACACTGAATGCACTCATCTCTGCTGACAGTTTCAGCTTGAAATTGCTTTATTTAGCGATGTATTTGAAATTAAACTCTGTCCACTGCAGGAAGGAAGCATCTATTGGAACCATCCATCCCTGCAGTTTTCAGCTCCCAAGGGCTGAGAATGAATCCATATCACAAGTGAACACATACCTAAATTTCAAAAAAACCTTTTAAATAGAGACTTTCAAAGTTTGCATTTTTAAACAGGTAAACTATCATGTACGTGCTTAGTTATCTAAATAAGTGACCTGGTCTTCAGATGAGCTGTGTACTTACGGTCTAGATTAGAATGAACAGGAGACTGTTCATAGATAAGCCATTTTCTTTAAAAATTACATCACTATTTGGTGTGGAGCAGCACCTAATTTTGTTATAATTATATTAGAGGGTTTTTTTAATACTTTAGGTAGTTATGTCCAGATTTTCCTAAGCACACATCAGTAATTACAGTGTTTAATTAATGATTAAAACCCCAAGAAACAGACAAATAAACAAGGTATTTTCTAATATAGCTAATATTAGAACCATACTAGTTTCCATAATAAATAATTTTCTACATGGTTTGTATCAGATATAATGTATCTAAACTAGGCACATCTTTGAGTCTGAATCCGAAAATACCTATTGCACAACCATTAGTAAAGTGTCCTCTGCTTTACTGAGACTTTGTTACTGTAAATAATTACACTTCCTAGAGCAAACAGATGTAAATGGCAAGGCAGGTTTTGAGGACTTTTGAGGCTTTTTTGTTTTTTTTCCCCTCAACTCCAAGTTTGACTTCAACAAACTTTTAATAAACTTTAAAAAATGTAACACGACATTCATTTCAACATCAGCAATTCTTGTACAGGAACTACATGACATATAATTATGTTTTTAACAGTGGGATGATTAAACAAGACAGACTGCAATGATGTCTTCATTCATATAATACATAATTCCCGAGAGAAATAGGAAAGATTTCTACACTGACCATAGTCTGTGTTTTCCGGCTCCCAACAATTTGATGGCCAAAAATAGGGTGTCTATAGACAAAACAAAAAAAGTAGGGAACTCAAGTTAGACAATGCAAGTATTATACAGTCCTTGGATTGATACTTGTTTTCAGAGTCAATTTACAATTCTGGTAGATCTATTATATTGTTAACTTGGCAATTTTGAAATAGGCATCAAAACAGAAAATTACTTTTGTATGCTTGCTTATTGCACTAGTGTCAGAATAACATTGAAAAAGAAGAACAAAGTGTTCTTTGTATTCTTAAAATTAAGGGAACAAAAGCCACAAGGTTAGGTAGCGAGCTTGTCTTTTTCATCTTCTCTAGCAAAACACCTCCTACATGTCCTGAAGAATCAGTTCTAGAAAGTGAAAAGACAGAAGACACTTTGGGGTACATTCAGTTCTTGATTTTGGAGAGGTTTCATTAGTATATATTAGTAGTCAATATTCTTTCCTAGGAGCTATTTGTTTCTATTTGTTTTAGAAAAGGCCACTAAATACAACCTCTTTTCACAAAGTTGTCAAAGTTCTTTGCATCTGCTGAAGCTGGTGTTTTGTTTTTTTTTCTATTTTTTACCAATCATGATATAAAATGTGACTTATTTAAAATGGAAAACCAATAAAGCTATTGATAACTAGTTGAACATTATGCTTATTAAAACTGCAATGTATTGTTAAAATAATTTGCTTTTACCAAATGAAGACTATAAGACCATATAGACATTTTTCACTCAAATAACTTATTTTCTAAAATGGTAAGTTTTTAATAAAAAGTAAAGCATTATAGTATTTTATACATAACACATTCATACATATTTATATACGTATATGCATAGACAGAGAATTATATCTTATTTGAGCAGTTGAATCAATCTCATTAAATTCGTGGATTGGTCTGGGTGGTATTTCAAAACACAGGTGCTTCCCTTAGGAAAAATTTCTGCTTCACTCTTACTATTTTTTCTCCAAGATCTCCCAGATGCAAAAATGGAAATCTCTCTTGCTGCCCACTTCCCTCAAACTGTTTTAATGTTAATCTGGAAAGCAACAGGGGCAAAGGGTGATACATTCACACCTACTCAGGTTAAATGCATGTTGTGAGAAACCTCTCTCTCTTGTAACAATGACCCATCAACTTTAACAGGAGCAATTTAGAACTTGCTATTTATGTAGCAACCAAGATGAGTTAAAGGACAAAAAGAAACAAACTAACTTTAAAGGATGTGATCCTCATAAATTAATTTATTCTCTGAAGCAGCAATGAATGAATGGCCTACGAACTATTCCTTTGCAGTGCCACTGAAATCAAAGTGACCAGTATAAGAACAAGTAAAAAGGAGAAACCCCTAAAGATGCAAGGGTTACTAAATACACATAAACCATATCTACTCGGGCAGCTCCTGAGCTGAAAGTAGCTGGGGCTTAGATTTTATTTACAGGAAGGTAGCAGTTACAGTGAAGAATGTCTGGAGAAAGGTACAGGGGAAGACTCATTTTGGAAATATAGAGACAGATATTCTTTCAATTATGGGTATACTTGCTGCAAATTCCATTTTCAACCTCCTCATACACACTTAGACAAATTACATATATACACTTGACAAATTACATATACTCCCATCCCAGCAAAGATTAAAAAATAAATCCTGTCTTCTGATTCTAAGCAAATTCCACAACTGCTTTGGGCACTCAATTCACAGAAACTATGAGGAAATACTATATATTCACAACTATATGTTTATGATGCAGGAATAAGTCTGTTGTTTCATACATAAAGGAAAAGGTCCCAGCCAGCAAGAATACTGCAGGAAATAGTTCCAAGAGGCAATCAAAGACATCATAACAATCAAGGATACATCTGATATTACTGTTTCAGTATTTAGTTAAAATAACATTAAACTTTTTATTGGGACTTACACATCAGTGGTAAAGGGAATGTGGGCACTAAACAGAATATGGGAAGGGGGACAGGATCTTTAAGGTTGTGAAATGTCACTTTAGCTCACCAGGGGACAACGCGGACAAGGCTTTTCTGAAGGATGAAAAGACGTGTTCCAGTGGCAAGAACTGCTTCTAACAGAGGGACTCCGTACAGATCAATGCTGGGAAGTGTGAAAAATGCACCAAAGACACTTTTTCCTTTCTTAAGTTGAACAACACTTTTGAGGGAACAGATAAAAGAGATTTTGTTCCTTTACAGAATACATAACCAAGACTTTGCAGCTGTGTAGTACTTGGAGTAAAACTGCAGGATGAGACTGGTATTCTGCAAAGAAGAGCACAGCAGCATAAGGGCCAGCAGGCTCAGAGAAAAGGCAGGCAAGGTCTCTGAGGAAAGTATACAAAGAGACAAAGAAATGGCAGATGGCAGTTATTGAAAGAGACTGCGTTAAATGTCCAAGTACCTTTAGAGACAAAATGCAGCAACAGGACAGTGTAATCGCCTACTGGTAATCTCCAACCAACTAAACATGTAACAAAGATCATGCCAAAAGCACAAATTAATGCACATGGTACTAAGAAGGAGTCTAAGCCTACCCACACCAGGGAGATAAAATCAGAAAAGTTAGAACATAAGGTTTAATTCACAAAGCAGATGATAAGTTATAACAAAAGGCTTCAATAATGTGTTATAAGGGTGGTCAAAAAAGAAATCCCCCAAAATGCAAACATTACAATATCAGAAAGGGGTTCAAATGACAGTTGGTACAGATAAGTACAGAAGATTATTAAATGCCTTCCTTGTTTGAGTCTTCAGAAGGAGGGAGACTGCTCAGATAAAAGTCCTTCTGCCCAGGGAATAATGCACAGGCCTGAGCTCTCCGTGCTGATTCTCTGAACTAGGCAGGCACAAGCTGCGTCTGAACTACAAGCCAAGACCCTGCCTGCATGGTGCTTGGATGCATTTAATGGGACCTGCTGAGAAATACAGCTCATCAGCTCAAGCACTGGAGCTGGCCACCAGCCAGCTGGCTCCCAGTGGGAACAAAGTTCAAGCCTGCCTGCAATCAGCTCTGCAAACATGCCCAAAATTAATTTGGACATGAAGGTAAGACTACAGGGCAAAGTACAGGACAGAAAACAGGAAGAGAAACATTTATAGGAGGTCAGACAGTTCAGGTCAGAGGCCTGCTGAAATTCAACACAGAATGCTTAAGGAATTTCTGTGTTTTCACATGGGTAAACTGTGGTTATTTGTAGAAAACTAAAAAGCCTCACCAAACTAAGGAATGACTTCTGGTCTCTCAGCAGTGTAAGTTATATGCATGTAAGTTATATATATATGTAAATATCATGATGCAACTTTGCTCTGGTACTTCTCTTTCTGAGAAGTACCAGAGCAAAGAGTACTTCTCTCTATAGTACAGAGAACAAAGACTCTATAGAACAAAGAGTACTTCTCTCTATAGTACCTAGCATATAACTGTCAAAAGTTATCAAAAATATTGGATTATCTGCATGATGTTTAAAGGGGTGCAAGTTACCTGAAGGGCAAGCTACACATGTAAAAGTATTAATTCCAGGAACCTTTGAAATATGGCAGTCATTAAAAAAAAAAAATCTCATAAGGCCACAGAACACTACAGCAAGGGAAGGTCTACCATTTCTAGAAAAGGGAAAGACAAAATTTTCTGTATTCTAATCTTTCTAGATGTCTATATTGAACAATTTTAATAAACTATCTATTTCTGAATCCTTAAAAGCTAAAGGTTACTAAAATTTTGATTTTTCAAAAACATATTAGGTCACTGACAGTGTAAAGCCCCTGCCAGATCAGAAACAGTAGATGCTATATATTTTGACCAAGGCAAAGTCCTACGGTACTTTCTGACGAGTAGGTAAGGAACCACTAAGTAAAGAACCAGTAAATCAAGCATCAGGGACTGTAGTGATAGGACAAGGGGCAATGGTTTTAAGCTTAAACAGGGGAAGTTCAGGTTAGATATAAGGAAGAAGTTCTTTACTGTGAGGGTAGTCAGGCACTGGAACAGATTGCTCAAAGTGGTAACTGCTCCATCCCTGGCGATGCTCAAGCTAAGTTGGACAGAGCCTTGGGCGACACGGTCTCACGTGAGGTGCCCCCTGCCCATGACAGGGGGGCTGGAACCAGATGATCTTAAGGTGCTTTCCAACTCCAACCATTCTATGATTCTATAATTCAGGTATCACTGTAAGATATGTGCTCAAAAGCAGCTACAGGTCCTGATAAAGTTGTAGATAACTATAACAAAACTAAAGTTGAATAGTTGTAGATAACTATTATTCATTTTCAAAGCAGGGAATGACATTGGTGGATGTAGAGACAAGGACAATTCTAAAACCAGGCACAAAAAAAATAGTGGTAAGGGATAGAATAAAAACTTGAGCAAAAAGCCAGTTAAAAAAAAAAAAAAAAGAAAAATCTTTAAAAAATCCTAGACACTGAAAACAGAATAAGATTAAAGGATTTTTGCAATGCTGTGACTGTATGAAAAAAAAAAAATCAACAATAAACTTGTGTGTAGTTAAAATGACTGACGCTTTCCCAAAGGTGTGTTCCACATTTTCTTCTTTAATTGTTTGGTATTAACAAAGTTCTGGTCTTAATCTACCTCACCATGTCCCATGCACACTGGGTAAAGTGGAAAACCCTTTAACAAAATATAGCAACAAAAGTAAATCTCAAGTAATGTTATTCATGGCAGAAAAAGAGACCCAGGGAGAAACCTCATCACAAGGTTCCCACAATAGTACAATTCCATTATTAGAAGGATACGTTAAATTTTGGGGGAAAGGTGTATCAAAGTCTCCCATTCAGGCATCCCTCAAGTGCACTAGACAGTCCCTTGCCTGTCTTCATTCTTCTGGGGCTTGCTCTGAGTGCTTACCCACTGCTCCCAGCTGCAACCCTCCTCAGCCCCAACACCTCACAGGCTCTTACTTGTGCAGAGATTTTTTGTCCCAGCCTCTGCACCAAGAAAGTTAACACTGAGTTTGCACAAGATCTCAGACATAAACCCCTGGAACCTTTGACTCCAAAACCTGGTT